AAAAAAAAAACAAATTCTAACAAATTTAAAAAAAAAAAAAATAAATTCTAACAAATTTAACAGGCAACTTCAATCTTCATAAGGTTTGTCAAGGTAATCTTCTTTAACTTCTACATTTTCATCATCATATCTGATCTACACATTTGAAATATATATATAAAAAAATTATTAGTCCTTAATAAACCATTGGACCAAATAACATAGTTTCGTCCCACTCTTTCATCTTTAATACTCAGTATTTAATTGTCTCAAGTTTTTACCCCATATTTTTCTTTTCTACACTGTTTTCTTTTTTTTAATCACTCCTACACTAATTTTCTAAGATATAATGCTCTTGCAACAATTCTACCCAAAGTAGGAGCCTTTGGTCTCATAATTTTTCTTTTTCTTTTTTTCCTGTGATTTATCTTTCAACCTCACATGTAGTAAAACACCTAATGATTTAGGCTTTGTTTGGGGTTACTTTTGTTACTGTTTTTTAAAGCAGATTTTTAGTTAAAAAGTTAAAATTTTTTTACTAGAAATTTGCTTTAAGAAGCAGTAAAAAAACCGTCCCAAACGAAACCTTAGTGTTTTACAAACTGCTTTTTTTCAACCTCTTCACATGTAATAGCAAAATCATGTTCATCTTTCAATAGCACAATCAGTGTGAAAGTTACCATAGATCATTATTGTTATATGTCCCAATATCATTTTAAAGCATGTTTATTATGTTTGTACAACGATCTTAGAAATTAAAAACTCGACGAGAAAATTCATAGATAGTATATAAATTTTCTGCTCTACCATATATTCTATTTTTTTATAATAAATTAACGATATAAAAAAATTAAAAACCGTCAATACCGGTCCCAAACACTGATGAAAAAAGATGAGAATTTTTTTTTTTAACTTGACTGATTTGTACCACATGTTTTAAAGTTGATGGATCTTGGATCTTTGGTGCCTTCAAACATGGCTAAGCAAAATTCAAAAATATATGACTCCCATAATATCTCCACATAATTAAGTAAGCTGTTGTTATTATTACAAAGCTATTATTGTGTAGTAATAGTAAATTTATTGGATTCATAGTAAATTAATAATAACGTCATTGAAAAAAAAAATTCACTTTACAAATGCCAAGTTGCTCTTTTAAGTGGAGAAGAAACTCAGCAATGGGCAATAAAATTTTCATTCTTATCTTGTTCCAAAAAACAGCACCTTCATGGATTGAAATGGTGAACTGTATCCATAAGCTATTCTATCTTGCCGAGCAGCCATTCCTGATTAAAATCACATAGAAAAATAAGATTGAGACATAAGTAATTGTCAACAGGCTTCTTCTAAGTCTTAAATTCTGTCTATAAAAATAATATGCAAAGTTCAACAAAGAAACTGCATTTAATTGCATTAGAGTTATTGTAAATGTGAATTTTGCTGTATTTACTTTGCAAATAATCCTCTTTGTGATGCCAAGCAAATGCAGCAAACCAACAGTCCAAGAAACAGATATTGTGATTATTGAAAATGAAATCAATAGCAACCATAGATTGTACTTCTCATTACTCAGAACAACAAAGGAAAGGACTATCACAGAAGCACAAGCTTATAAGGTAATTTCTGACCGTTGAAATATTGCAACATTTGAGCACTACAAGTTTCTGCAGATGACCCTAAGGTTTTATTTGGGACAAATTTTTAGCTGCTTCTTAAAGTAGTTTTTTAGTACAAAAATTTTAATTTTTATATTAAGAGGCTACTTCAAGAAGCAGAAAGAAAGCCGTCTCAAACGAAGCCTAAGAGGGTACATAGAAAAACATAAAACAGACTGAATGAACGAAAGAACTTTTGCTTATTCAAGTCATAGAATGATTGAGAAACAGAATAATAAATAATCTCAAAGTAAGAGAGAGTAGAAAACCTAGCCAGATGAGCAAGACAACTGTTGCAGCCCAGAAAAATTCCTTACTAATGCTCTTCAAACTGTTATGAAAATAGAAGCCTAATCACTTTCAAGGAAATAATATGACATTTCCCTTAGACGATAGAACTAAGAGTCCATGAAAGCAAATCAAATTACCAGTACATCCATGCCAAATTCCCCCACCCCTGAAGCAATGATGCCCAAGATGCTCCAGTAAACCTTTCAAGTTTTACATAGTATTAAACTGTTAAAGCTTTTGAATGTGAGTAGAAGAAACATTTATGGGAGTTTATGGCGCTAACACTTGCAAATATGGAAATTTATAACATATTTATGGATTTTAGGAAGCATATATAACTAGTTATGTTAGACCTCAAATCAATTCAGAAAATAATGATACCATCAAACACGTAAAAAGAGGACCGCAGGAGAGAAATTTAGGCTTCGTTTGGGACAACTTTTTTGCTACTTCAGAAAACTGCTTTTAAGTACAAAAATTTATAATTTAAGAAAATTTTATACTAAAAAGTCTTTTTAGAAAGCAACAAAGAAGCTGTCCCAAATGAAGCCTTCGTAAGATATTATCCTTAGTTCAAGTATGAGAAAACATAGAAATACAAAAGTAAATCTTGAAAAACTATTTCAAGTCTAACTAAATGGATCTTGAAAAAAAAAATTACTTGGAGCATTTAATTAACTCTTGACACTTATCAGTAAATAGATAAGTAAAAATACAGTGGTGAAAGAAATTACCAAAGCTACTAGTCATGTAAATTAATGGTCACTTTAGGAAAAGCTGTTATAATAATGTTATTAAGGTGTATCTACATAGAAAGTCTTATTGTACAAGCTCTTAATATGTAGATATTACAAATTAAATTAACTAAAGTAAACAAAAAATTAAAATAATTTTACAAAAAAATTGTCCATTCTCATTTTTTAGATAGATTTATTTTTCAAATAGATTGGAATTTTCAATTTAGTATGATACATTTAAATTAGTAAAACTAAAAATTATAATTTATTTTGATAATTAAATTAATTTCCTATTCATTATAGAATTAGTATATTTGTCAAATGATAAGAAGATGATGAACTTCGTGACCATAACTAATTAGCATACTCCATAACTAAACTTCCTTTGGCCTGATTAAATCCTTCATGTTGAGTTGATAGTTTAGAATTCCTACAAGTGAAATTATTTTAAAGCTAATTTAACAAATTCACTTAATTTCCTATGACCAAAAAAATAAACATGAAATGAAATAAAAAAATCACATACTTATGTGAAACTACAATTTGATTGGAGAGAAAGTCCAAAGTCCAAACAAATCTCACCCATGCTACTTGTGACAGGCTAAATTAGACTAAATCATTTGAGAAATAAAAAAGAATAAATTTAATGAGGAAGTGTGTAAAAGGTGCTATCCTTAGATTTAATATAAATTCAATACTTAAAAGAATATTGAGGAAGAAAAAAAAATGTCAGATGCTTAAGAAATAATAGCTAAACTATCTAAGGAAAAAAACATCTGTGGAAAACTTTGATAACAGATTTGAGGGGCATATACCACATGAGATCACGAATGAACAAAGCTCGAGGTATCATTAGACCATTCCCAATCATGCCAAGCAGAAGTGTCAAAGCTGCTAATCCTTTGATGTTATCAGGATTTAAATAGTTTGTCCACTGCATTTATAATGAAACAAAAAAAGGTAACATGTGAATCTTCCATGGCTATCGTGGCAGGACTTTGACAGTACCAACCTGTAGAGGAATCATACCATCTGAGCTACAGGCATCCACATAAAGAGTAGAGTGGCAGTCCATCCAGATATTGACCCAACAAATCTCTCTGCCTTCTTAGAAAGTTTACCAGTCCGTGTCTGTGAAACTTAGTAAATGGCAGAATCAAAGACTGTAAAACTGCTGAATTTGGAAGTAGCAAGATATACAAAAAAGTAGATAGCCGGGCTGGAGAAATAAAGAAATGTGCTTAACGTAACGAAGTTTAAAACATACAACAACAACATCAACCCTTTGTCCCACTAAGTGGTGTCAGCTACATGAATCCTTATTCTCCATTGTGTCCTATTAAAAGTCAAATTCTCATTTAAATCTAATAAAGAAATATCATTTCTAATATTTTCTAACCAGTCTTTTTAGGTCTATCTCTACCTTTCTTAATATAAGTCAAATCTAATACCTCCACTTTCCTAACCGGGTCATCGGAAGGCCGTCGTTTTATGTGGCCAAACCATCTAAGGCGACTCTCTCTAATCTTATCTTTTACTCGAGCTACTCCAACTTTTTCACGTATATGCTCATTTCGTATCATGTCTCTAAGGGTAAACCCACTCATCCACCAGAGCATCCTCATCTTTGCAATACTTAACTTAATATTATGCTTCTCTTTTAATTGTCAACATTCTGCACCATAAAGCATTGCAGGTCTCACCACCATCTTATAGAAGTTCAATAAATAGCTCACTAATTGTTATATTCTAGCATGTCAAATTAAAGAATCTTTCCATCAATGATTTCAAATCCATGATGCCATGGTTTCTCTGCACAAGTTTAGTTGTAAACATTTCAGATGACATTTCAAGCAAAAGGCATACCAGCTAGAATGGAAAAAAAGTTGAGTAGCTTGCAATTCAAACATCAAAAGACATGCAATTTGGTTTGATGAAACGTGAATCTACATTTATGGTATGAGTAACAAATTTTATTGAATAGGAATAGTGATGGCCTAAATCTAAAGAAAACCAAAAGGTGGTTAAGCCAATGCCTACTCGGTGTCCAAATCCATGGAATAAACCATTGGACCAAATAACATAGTTTCGTCCCACTCTTTCATCTTTAAAACTCACTGTTTAATTGTCTCATGTTTTTACCCCATATTTTTCTTTTCTACACTTTTTTTTTAATCACCAATACCATAAGTTTCTAAGATATAATGCTGTTGGTAATTTGAGTTATGTATATATGAAAGGAGAATTAACTCTTACTGGCAAGGCCTGCAAAATGAAAAAAAAAAAAAAACTGTTTCAGTGTTTTAGAGCTAGCAAGAATTGTGGTTAGTCTTCGACTTTCAGTATTTTAGAGCTAGTAAGATTTTTTTTTTTAATGACATATCAATATGCAGCTTAATACTAAGTTAAGCTTTGCAGAGATGAGGATGCTTAGGTGGATGAGTGGCTTGACCCTTAGAGATAGGATACAAAATGAGCTTATACGTGAAAAGGTTGGAGTAGCTCCAGTAGAAGATAAGATTAGAGAGAGTCACCTTAGATGGTTTGGTCACATTAAACGGAGGCCTTCCGATGACCCGGTTAGGAAAGCTGAGGTATTAGATTTGACTTTTGTTAAGAAAGGTAGAGATAGACCTAAAAAGATTTTGTTAGAAAATATTAGAAATGATCTTTCTTTATTAGATTTAAATGAGAATTTGACTTTTAACCGGACACAATGGCGAAAAAGGATTCCTGTAGCTGACCCCACTTAGTGGGACAAAGGCTTGATGTTGTTGTAATGACATATCAATATCACTTATATATATATATATGCACATTCTTCTTGCATAAAGTAAAAAAACAATGTCTTGTACATCCCCTTAGACTTGCTTCTACTATATAAGTTAATTGTTTCAATAAACATTTTCTTAATCACCAATCCCTCAACCTACTGATCAACTCTTATGCCCTGAAGCTTAGGAATCGATCCTTAGAAAGCAAGTCACTACTTAACATTCTGTAAGTAAATAATATCCCTTAATAAACCAGATATCATAAAATTTTCATGAGAGATATAACAAGCACAAGAACAATAAACATCCTTATGATCAACCTTAACATCAATTTTTTTTAGATATGTAAGGATGTAACTTAGCCTATCAAGATGCGTACTGATAGGCAAACATTTTGCATGTGAAGCAAGTGTCATGCTTCAGGTAATCTTTGATCAAGAGGCTTTTAGTTATGAACACAAACTCCAACTTAAGATGAGAACAGCTTTACCACCTTTTTTTGGTGCTCAAAGTATTCTACTTCTTACCATAAATTTAAACTAAATCACCTTCTTAATGCTCCTTTTACATGTTCTAAGAATACAAGTCAAAATGAGAGGATTAAAAAGGTCCATACCAATATGATGAACAGAACAGCCAAGCAACATGAAACAACCCCAGGAAAAATACTATTTGGAATAAATGGGACAAATGTCGACCACATAACCTGCATCAATGAGATCAGAGAACAAATATAATTAGTCTTCGCCGCTATCATCAAGCACTCCTCAAACTCCAAAAACTCCTATAAAGTCACCTGTGGGAGGACAGAAATTCCCACAATGGTGACAAAATCCTCCCATCTTTGCCACACCCATTGTATAAGCCATCCATAATAGTTCATAAAGTTCAGCACAAGCCCAGTAACCACAGCTGCCGACGTGGCCATAAACTGTGGCAAGGGCATTGCTCCGACAACAGCGAGCTGCACAATCACAATGTAGATGGATATAACTCCCAATATTTGAACCAAGATAGCCTCCTTCTCCTTCTTCTTAGCAAAGTAGGATAGCAGTGTGAGATTTCCAAGTAGACCAGTAAGCATCCCCTGCATCATATTTTTTGTTTATTGTTGATGCACCAAAGAACAGAAGGAGAAAGAGGGTGGGTAACAGAATTTGTCAGTAGACAAGCCTGTTTCAGCTGAGTATTTATATTCAAATATTTTCATAAAGTTTGAGTGACTTTGAGGGGCTCTTGGTTTGCAAGTAAGATTCAATAAATCCTGATACTTTTGATTTAGTAAATATTGAGGCGATTAAAATCTGAACTGTTTGTTAAATTCTCACATTATGTTTAGGTATTTGTTCCATGATTTCAGATATGTGAGTGGGAGAAATCCTTTGACGGGATTTAGAAAATCTTAGATTTAGGTTTTGTTTGGGACGGCTTTCTATTTTTTAAAGTAGATTTTTAATACAAAATTTTAAATTTTATATTAAAAACTTACTTTAAGAAGCAGTAAGAAAGCCGCATCAAACGAAGCCTTAATCAATAATGGGGATGAAACAAGATTCATCAAAACAGTAGAGTTTGAAATTCCAAAATGCTGTTTGGCAAGATTGAAGCTAAAGATTGCTTAAATCATGCCTAAAATAGGATTTCAAACAATACTTGAACATAAATGGATTGTAAATATTATAACGAAGTTTGTTTGTTTGATGTTTTCTTGCTCAACTCAAGCTCCAACGGATCTACAACAAATAAAAATATTCAGAACTATGTAAATACTCAAATTTGTTCAATTAAATGTCAAACATATTCAATTTAATGTATATAAATGAGCATCAACGGAAGAGTATGTAGCTCACGAGCCAGGGAACAGCGAATAGAGCAGCGGAGTTGTTAGAGACGAGGTTTCGCTGATTGAGGAGTATCTGTGGGATCTGAATAAGGAGAAAAGGGATGTTGGAAGCGCCGGCAAAGCGGGCGGTCATGGAGTCCCATTGCTCTAACTTCGAGGCCGCCTGGAAAAAAAAAAGATGATATTTTGAAGTGAGGAGAGTGGAAAAGAAGGAATTTTGGAGAATAATATGACCTCAGCGGAGCAGGCGGCGGGAGTTTTGAGCCTTCGGCGGCGGCGGACGAAAAGGCGTTTGAGCGGAGAAGGATAGAGTTTGAGAGAGATGTTAGAGGAGATGAGGACGGGAGTAGAGACGGCGAAGAATGTCGGCAAAGGCAGCGGTGAGGCATAAGACGCCATTGGAGGAGCCCAGGAAGTGCTGAAGCAGAACTGAAACTCATTAGCTCCTTACTAGATAAGCCTGATAAGAGACTGTGCAACCTATAGTAAAAAAATAATTGGGAAATTTACATCTAAAATTTTGTAAAATTTAAAATTGGTTTTTATGATTACTGTACCAAAATATAAACTAAATAATTAAATGAAAAACATTCTTACCACAAAAGAAAAAAAATGATCAATCTTCAGAAAGCAGATGGAATTAAGGGAGTAGGACTTTTAAATACAAATTCAATACTTATTTCTGTTCAATGTGGAGAAAGCACCAAATAACAACTGTGCATGTATATAAATTTAGCTTTATATATTGCATGATGCATCTGTCTCAGTCATTTTTGGGCATCTGATGATTAGAAGTTTGAACAATATAGAGTTCATTTACCTCAATTCCTCATCATCAAAGCTACAAATTAGTAAAATTTATCTGAAACACAAATAAATCAGGCATTTCTTGAGATCAATGAAGATAAGATATACTGGAGATAAGTGAGCCTAAGTTCTCATTCTCTTACATAAAGCAAAGCAAGGTTCAGTTGCCTAATTTGTAACTTCAAGGCAAGAAACTAATAAAAGAACAGACTGAAGCTGCCATTCTTGAGTTCAGAAAGGCAAGATATTGGAGGCAACTAAACCCTCTTAATAAAGGGGTTTAGCTGCCTCCAATTCTTATCTTTCAAGCCACAAACTAGAGATGAGTAAATCCTTCAGCTCATTTCAAGCTTCTAATGATTAAAATGCCTGTAATTCTTATTGGCAAAGGCTCATAAATGTGCTATTTATAGAGTCTGGATGTCAAAATTGGAAGGAGGTGCATGCAACTGGTGTGAAGTTCTATGTAGTACTAGTGGTAGTTGAAATTGGTTCTTATGTTTCAGGCCTGTAAAACGCATGACTTGCTTCACTACTTTTGATTCCATTGGGGCATTTTGTATGTTTGCAAATTGTAATCAATTCTGCGTACTTCATATTATTGATTAATTTTACTAATTAAGTACTGATTATGATTATAAATATTACATTGTTTTGAGAAGGTAATGCTAATGAATTTATATAACTATAAGCTTTCATGTTAAAACTTCTTGAAGCTTTTTGTGAAAGATTTGATGTGTTAATCCAACATCCTCTCCTTGAGAAGCTTCATATTGGTGCCATCACTTCTTAATCAAAATTTAATGGAATAGTGCATTCACTCATGTAACAAAAAATGTTGATATGTTGTTAGGGTTTCTCTATCCATATAAAGGACTAAACATAATTGAGGTTATGCTGAAAGTCTCAACATAATGAGACTCCTAAGTATATGGAAAGTTTAGGCATAGACTTAGGGTTCGTTTGGGGCAGGTTTTTTATTGGTTTCTAAAGCAACTTTCTAGTACAAAATTTTCTTATTAAAAAATTTGTGTACTAAAAAACTACTTTATGAAGCAATACGAAAGCTATCCCGAATGAAGCCTTAAACTATTTGGGTGAATGAATCATATAAATATTAAATAGCGATTGTGGGAAATTTACTCAATAGATTAGCTTAAATTACTTATCTTTATACACATATTCATTTATGCAGTTGCTTGGATTTAAAATATTTACATGCTGAATTGTTCTAGCACTTTTGTGCAATAATTTATTAATCTCACTTAGCATGTATTATTTTAGTTCATAATATATTGTGTTTGATTTTGTATACTTTGTTATACTTTAGTATTAAAATAATAATTATCTTTGTTTTATGTGGTTGATATTGAGCTTAATAGTTATAACTTATTCGCATAGCTCAACTATTTACATGCACCTTAGTTAAACTTCTATGGTGAGTGTGACTAGATAAATTAATTGACAATTATTATTTATCTTATGTTAATGTATTTAAAAAGAAATTGAAATTATCCCATTAAACATTCAATTCATCGTTAGAATGTCTTCTCTTTATACAATGATCAGTTAAACTATGCGTCCTGGAATATTCGCATCGATAGAGATATATAAAGTTTAACGTCTTAGCTCTGTACAAAGACCCATCTAACAATCAGATAAAAGAGATGATGTAGTATAATACACTAGATTTTTACGTGGAAACCTCTAAAAAGGAAGAAACCACGGGGCCTGACCCAGTTTGAATGAATCCACCTGTGTTTGCGGTCGATTAAAAATGAGGCCTATCCTTGGAGGGAAGGCTTTGACTTAATGTAGCAAATATATATTATATAGAGTCCATTACATGGTGGGAATTGGAAAAATCGATATTGACATGTTCATTTAGAATGCAGGATCATAGTCGGTGGGCAACAGAGGTCAGAAAGACTGTAGTCAAGTGACAGTGGTTGGAAAGACCGTTGTTGGCGGGCGATGGAGGTCAGAAAGACTGTTATTACGCGATGGAAATCGGAAGGATCATAGTCGGCCGGCGATGGAGGCTCGAAAGATTGTTGTCTAGCGGCCGAGGTCGAAAGGATCGTAGTCGGCATGTGACAGTGATTAGAAAGATCGTTGTCTGACGATGGAGGTCAAAAGGAACATAGTCGAAAGACCGTTATTTACCGATGGAGGTCAAAAGGACCGTAGTTAGCAGATGAAAATGGTCAGAAAAACCATTATATAGAGATGGAGGTTGAAAAGATCTTAGTCGGTGGACGACAATGGTCAGAAAGACCATTGTATGACAATGAAGGTTGGAAGTACTATAGTCGACGAACGACAATGGTTAGAAAGATCGTTGTTTGGCGATGGAGTCAAAAGGACCGTAGTCGGCAGACAATAGTGGTTAGAAAGATCATTATTTGGCGATGGAGGTTGGAAGGACCGTAGCCGACAAGCAATTGAGGTCAGAAGGACTGTAGTCGATGGGCACTAGTGGTTAGAAAGATTATAGTCAGCGGGCAACAGTGGTCAAAAAGATTGTATTTGATGGACAACGAAGATCAGAAGGACTATAGTTGGCGGGTGACATTGATCAGAATGATCGTTGTCAAACGATGGAGATTTAAAGGGCAGTAGTCTGCGAGCAACGGTGGTCAGAAAAGATCGTTGTCTGACGACAGATGTTAGAATAATCGTAGTTGGCGGGCGACATTGGTCAAAAAAGACTGTTTGTCTGGTGATGGAGGTCAGAAAGACCACAATCATAGGGCGACAGAGTTTATAAGGACCATAGTCGGCAGGAGACTAAGGTCAAAAGGATCGTAGACGGGCAAGAGACAATGGTCACAAAGGCCGTTGTTTGACGTTGGAGGTCGGAAGGGTCGTAGTCGACGGGTAGGTGGAAGTACGATGTTAGTCGGTGGCCGGGCAGAAGTCCAACTTCAGTTGGTCCAACTTCAGTTGGTGGTCCAGTGTAAGTATAGTGTCAGTTGGTAGCCGGGTGTAAGTCTAACAATAATTGAAAGATGGGTGGAAGTCCAACGTTAGTTGGTGGTCGGATAGAAGTTTGATGTTAGTTGGTGGCCGGATAGAAGTCCAGCATCAGTCAGTAACCGGTCGGAAGTCCGGCAATTGTCCGATGATGGTCAATGGTCCGACGATGCTCAAGGAGGAGTCTGTTGGCAAGAGATCTATAATTTCTCTCTTACTTGACTCCTCCTTCCTCTTTTTGTCCATGAGGAATGAGGGGTATATTTATAACTTTCTAAGAGTGGCATGACCAAATAGGGAGATCAAGAGCAAGTTGGAAGTAGTTTGAATGGACGACCGATGTCGATTCTCTTTATCATGGACTGTTTTCTAAACATTTGAATGGCATAATGCTATCATAATTCAACAATCTTAGGCTCGTTGGATTCATCTCATCCAGCCGCTTGATTCGACTATAAGCATGTCACGCTTGAAAACCGTTTCATTATCCAATCTATGATTTAAATCTTCCAAATGTGCTTCGGGTCATGGATTTGGTCCCATTTAGGCTCAGATTGAGTCGAATTTGGTGTCATTGGGTTTGTCTTCTCAAGATGTCCGGTTCTATTATATGTTTGCTAAAATTGAATTTCATATGGTTCCAAATTTAATTTTGAAAGTTTTTAACTTGAATTTGCTTCGAGATTCGTGCATGATCAAGATAAATTTTTTATGATATATCAATCCTTAATATGAGAATTATGTATTGGTTGTCGTCTCTCTCGATTAAGATTCAGTGATAATAGAGAAGTTTGTTTCAAACGCTTCTATCATAAATAAAGTTATCAAATAACGATCAACAAAAATATACTAAGATATATAGAAAATTTTTGTAGATTTTCTTGAAATTTTTCTACCATGAATCATTAATAGGGCCCTAATTTATGATTAGGAAATTTAGAATGCAACTAACATCATATATATAATTTTTATTATTTTAAGCTAAATTGATATTTGATATAACCTTTTTGAATAAAAATGAGCATTGATATGATTTTTTTTAGTTATTTAAAGTTAAAAATTATCATTAATCAAATAATGTAATGCATATTTTTACAATCCAATAATACATTAATACTTGTTGCGTCCTGGAGTATTCGCGTCGGTAGAGAAATATAAAATTTAGCGTCTTAGCGTTGTACGAAAATCCGGTACGCAATCAGATAAAAAGAGAGAGGGTAGCAATTATGAGACACCAAGATTTTTACGTGAAAAACCCCTAAAAAGGGGGAAAAACCACGAGGCCTAGCCCAGTTTGAATGAATCCACTAGTATTGTAGTTGATTACAAATGAGGCCCTTCCTTGGGTGAAGGCCTTAGCTTGATGTACATTTTATATAGTACATTACATGATGTGAATACAAAGAGTCACTATTGACGTGTTCGTTTGGTCAGGAGGACCATAATCTAGTGACGGAGGTCAGAAGAATTGTAATTGGCGGGCGAAAGAGATTATAAAGACTGTTGTCTGGTGACGGAGGTCAGAAAGGCTGTAGTCTACAGGCAACGTAAGTCAGAAGGACCGTAGTCGGCTAGCGACGGAGGTCGGAAAGATTGTAGTCGGCGGGCGACGTAAGTCAGGAGGACCGTAGTCGGCGGACGACAGAGGTCGGAAAGATTGTAGTCGGTGGGCGACGTAAGTCTGGAGGACCGTAGTCGGCGGGCGAAGGAGGTCGGAAAGACTGTAGTTGGCGGGCGACGTAAGTCAGGAGGACCGTAGTCGACGGGCGACGGAGGCCGGAAGGATTGTAGTCAGTGGGCGACGTAAGTTAGAAGGACTATTGTCTAACGACAAATGTCAGAAAGATGACATCAGGTAGAAGTCCAACAATGGAAAGAAATCCATCTTCGGATAGATGTCCAATGAAAGTCCGATAACCAGTAGAAGCCGACGTCGGGTAGAAATTTGGCGATGAGTGAAGGTCCGGCGTCGGTTAGAAGTCCGACGTTTGTTGGTGGCCGAGGAGAACTCTGGCATCACTTGGGCGGAGTTTCGGTGTCAGGGGGGAACTCTGTTATTACTTGGACAGAATGTTAGCATCCCCTGGAAGTCAGACAGAATTCTTGCGTCTCGTGGAAGTCAGGCAGAATTCCGACGTCATTTGGAGTTCGGGTAGAATTCCGACGGTGGTCGAGGACGAGCCTCTTCCCTCATACTCTTCTCTTATCCTCTTCTTCTTGCTTTTTTGCTTGGGTCCCCCTTCATGAGAAATGAGGGGTCTATTTATAGATTTACTAGAGTGGCATAGATTGTAAATATGTGTGAGATAAGGGGCAAATAGGGAGTGGTCGAATGGACGGTTGATATTGAATCCTTTGATTGTGCACTGCTTGTCAGACATTTGAAGGTCTTAATAATGTCGGAATCCAACGAGTAGAGAAATATAAAATTTAGCGTCTTAGCGTTGTAAGAAAATCCGATACATAATCAGATAAAAAGAGAGAGGGTCTAGCAATTATGAGACACCAAGATTTTTACGTGGAAAACCCTTGAAAAGGGGGAAAAACCACGAGGCCTAGCCCAATTTGAATGAATCCACTAATATTGTAGTTGATTACAAATGAGGCCCTTCCTTGGGAGAAGGCCTTAGCTTGATGTACATTTTATAAAGTACATTACATGATGTGAATACAAAGAGTCACTACTGACGTGTTCGTTTGACCGGGAGGACCATAATCTGGTGACGGAGGTCAGAAGAATCGTAGTTGGCGGGCGACGGAGGTTATAAAGATTGTTGTCTGGTGACGGAGGTCAGAAAGGTTGCAGTATACAGGCGACGTAAGTCAGGAGGACCGTAGTCGGCTAGCGATGGAGGTCGGAAAGATTGTAGTCGGCAGGCGACGTAAGTCAGGAGAACCGTAGTCGGCGGGCGACGGAGGTCGGAAAGATTGTAGTCGGTGGGCGACGTAAGTCTGGAGGACCGTAGTCGGCGGGCGAAGGAGGTCGGAAAGACTGTAGTCGGCGGGCGACGTAAGTCAAGAGGACCGTAGTCGGTGGGCGACGTAAGTTAGAAGGACTATTGTCTGACGACGAATGTCAGAAAGATGACATCAGGTAGAAGTCCAACAATGGAAAGAAATCCATCTTCGGATAGATGTCCAATGAAAGTCTGATAACCGGTAGAAGCCGGCGTCGGGTAGAAATTTGGTAATGAGTGAAGGTCCGGTGTCGGTTAGAAGTCCGACGTTTGTTGGTGGCCGAGGAGAACTCCGGCATCACTTGGGCTGAGTTTCGGTGTCAGGGGGGAACTCTGTTGTTACTTGGGCAGAATGTTAGCATCTCGTGGAAGTCAGACAGAATTCTTGCGTCCCGTGGAAGTCGGGTAGAATTCCGGCGTCAATTGGAGTTTGGTTGGAACTCCGGCGGTGGTCGAGGACGAGCCTCTTCCCTCATACTCTACTCTTCTCCTCTTCTTCTTGCTTTTTGCTTGACCCCTCATGAAAAATGAGGGGTCTATTTATAGATTTAGTAGAGTCATAGATTATAAATAGGTGTGAGATCAGGGGCAAATAGGGAGTGGTCGAATGGATGGTTGATATTGAATCCTTTGATTGTGAACCGTTTGTAAGACATTTGAAGGTCTTAATAATGTCAGAATCCAACGATCTTGTGCTCATTGGATTCGTCTCGTCGAGTCGTTCAATTCGACTATAAGCTCGCTAAAATCGAAGACCGTTTGGTAACTCAAATTGTGGTACGAGCTTTCCAACAACGCTTCGGGTGCTTGATTTTGGCTAATTTGGGTTCGAATTGAGTTGAATTTGGCGTCGTTGGGTTCGTATTTTTGAGATGCTCAGTTTGGCTATAAGCTTGCTGAAATCGGAGTTCAGGACCTCCTAGATTTAATTTTTGAAATTTTCGATTTGATTTTGCCTCGAGATTCATGTTTGATCGAGCTAATTTTATGATGACGTATCAATACTTATGTCATTATAGGAGAAACTAGAACTGAAAAGGGTAAATGAGTGAAAGAATTTGTTTTCATTGGTTAGAGGATAATGCTATATAAAATAAAATTAGAGTAACATATTTTATAATTAATTGCTCATTATTTAAAAAAAAAAGAGTATAATTTTAATATTGAAGCTTAAGAAAAAACGAGAAAGAGAAAAAAAAAAAGAAAAAGAAGGCCCTTGACCAGGAACAATTATTAGGTCAGGTGACCCGACATAGCTCTACATTCGGACGTCAATAATATATCGCCACGTGCTCTTATTCTTTACCGTGCGGCCCGACGACCTGATCCGGGATTGCTATGTTTGCGTATTGCTCGGTAGTGCTCTAGGTATTGCTCGGTATTGCTTGATAATAACGAGAAATACTGCTCTGTCAAGACCAATACCAAGCAATACTGAGAAATACCGAGCAATACCGAGAAAACTCGGCATTGTTCGGTATTTCTCGGTATTGCTTGGTATTGGTCTTCACAGAATGATATTTCTTGTTATTGCCGAGCAAAATCGACCAATACCTAGCAATACCGAGTAATACCTAGCAATACGCGAACATAACAATCCCGACTCGGTTCCGGGTCGGTTTGTCAGGGTGCATGATAAATACTGAGAATACGAGACACTAATTTACCGACGTGCGAACTTAGAGCTACATTGGGTGACCGGACCAAATAAAAGTTCTTGAGCAAAGAGTATGGAACCAAGTTCTCTGGTCGTCCCGAACGAGAGAGAGAGAGACAGCGAGCGCAAAATGGTAAAGCAAGAGAATAGAACGAGTGCTTAGCTCCAGAAGGCCATGAGCCTGAAGCAGGATCTAGAGCGACACCAACAGCACAGCGACCACAGCTCCGACCACCATTCCCATCCACCTCCTCAGCGCCGCCCCCGTGGCTTCGCCGCCGCCGCCGCGGCGGCAGTCGGCGCTGTAGGTTCCGCCACCACTCCTCCAGCAGGTACCTCTGTGCTGCCCGGGACGGGAAGAAAAGAGCGAGAGAAGGAGAAGGAACGAACGAAGCTGCGTGAAAGGCACCGCCGTGCGATCACTAGCCGCATGCTTTCTGGACTCCGTCAACATGGTAACTTCCCTCTTCCGGCACGCGCCGACATGAACGATGTCCTTGCAGCCCTCGCCCGTGAGGCTGGTTGGACCGTCGATCCCGATGGCACGACCTACCGGCCATCTCCTACACCACCTCCTCCTCTTCCTCCTCCTCCTGCAGTTGCTGCCCCACCGAACCCTCTTTCTCAATTGGTACTTTTTTCCCCTTCTCGCTATTACCTGAATAACTTTTTGGTTGCATTATCATATTTGTTTCTGCCCCTTTAACTGGAAACTTGGGATTTTGATTGATGGTGATATTGGTAGGTAATAATCTGTTTTTTAGGAGAATTTCAATCTAATAAATTTTTTTTTGCTTTACCAGTCCCTTGTAATTTTGTGATGTAACTGCTATAAACTTTACGCGAGAAGTATAAGAGGAAGGGAAAATGCGCTTGTGTTTCTGAAACTTTTTTGCATTTGTGGCACATGTGATACACTAGTGAAGCTAGGGAGCTTATAGTATTGTTGATATAATTTTTATCGAAGTCAATAGTATAAAATCCATGGCTCTGCACTGACATAGAACTTCATGTCAAGAATTATTATTAGTCGACCAAGAAGGAATGACTATAGTTTTGATCAAACATGGCTGCACACAGTCATGCTGCTTGGTCGACTGTTCAATCAGGCAGTGTGGATGAATGCGGCTGTCCATGTGGACAGCCATTTCTACACTACCGGGTGCTTGCTAACACCCCTACTGGCCTAATTGGCACTTTTGTATTCTTGATTGATTCATCATTTTTAATACTTGAAACAAAAAAGGGTTGTAGTTGTTGAAAAAATGATAATCCTTGATTAGGGCATTATGAGTTTTTTCTGGGTGCTTCATCCTTTGGGAGAATGATTTTTAGTCCGTTTGCTTTGCCAGCATTTCTGGTTAATGTTGGTGGTTTTGAAGTTTTTTTTTCTTATCCTGAGAATAAATTAAATAATAAGATGATTAAAGACTAGTTATCCTTCTATGGTTGACATGGCCATATATGATGATCGTCATACTCATATAATGGGTTCTTGGATTGTTTTTATTTGAGAAAAACTAATTGAAAGGTTAGAGACATGCTGCAAGTTAATTGATCTTTTCAGAATCAACAAGCTTAATACATATCATTTGGAGGGCTCAATGTCATGTGTACTCCTGCTTCAAAAAAATTCCATGTTTGCTTGTTTACTTCTTATAAATTTGTTTGCAGGCACCATTCCTAGTACGTTCGATAGAGAGTTCCTTGTCTGTCACTTCTTTGAAGAATCGCACGAGCCAAGCACCTTCAGATTCTCAAGCATCTTTTCTCAGGATTGATGATGGATTGTCTCCATCTTCACTTGACTCAGTTGTAGTCACAGAAAGGGATATTAAGAATGATAAATTTACTAATTCCAGCCCCATCAACTCATCAGAATGTGTGGATGCTGACCAGGTAAGTCTAATCTGTTTGGTGTCTCTTTACATTCCAAAAATATAATTATTAATACTTTGTATAAGAATAATTAGAATCAAGGATTTCATTACTGCAATATGAGTGCATTTATATTGTTTATTGTATCTTAATGAATAATGAAAGAACCATCTTATGTAAAAAGATTAGAAATGTCTTGCCACACTTAAAATATTAAATTTGGTAATTTGCCTTTTGATCATTAAGTTTATAAAAAGATACTATGATTTTCAAAATAAGAGGGTGCATGGAATCATTTGTTTAGAATTGTTAGCCTTTTGATTATCTGTTGATCCTTTGTTTTTTTGAGCATTTTCATTTTGATTAAATAGTATACACATGCAAACCATATTCTCCCCCTTATATGTGAAATTGTTGCAGCTAATGCAGGGGGCTTTAGAGCAGGATGGTGATTTTGTCGGAACACCATATGTTCCCGTTTACATAACCCTTGCTGTAAGTTGATATGATTTTCTCTCATATCATTTTAATTTTAATTTAAATTGTAGAACTATAAAGCGTGTTTATCAACACGAAACTCATACACAATGCAACATAAATATACAAATAGTTCACACACTACGTCATAAACATAATATATATTTTTTAATTATTAATATAAAATTTGTAATCAAAATATATAATTTCATTATTTTCTTTTAAAAAGCACCACACTAGGAAGTATAATATCATTTGTATCACAAAAAAGCTTAAGTATTAATGAAGGGAACAAGTAACATTAGTTTACTTGCAATTATATTTTAATATTTCTAGAAATGAATTTAATTTTTGACAACAAAAACATTAACATTAATCATTTTAAATGAATTTGTCGATATAACATTTTATTGTTTATATGAATAGAAAAAGCCCAAAAAAGAGTATATAATCTTCAAAATAACCACACTAAATATAAATATATTGATGTTTCACTAATTGGATCTAACACAAATCATATTGTGATCATTATCACAACTAATACTAATATCTTGTTCAATGTCACATTTACCATCATTGAGAAAAAACACAATCTGTAACGTTGGCTAATTACCCCTAAAAAAATGCATAGTTTCATTAACTCTATGTATCGCGAGGATGTCCGACTGTTTTTACTCTAATTTTGTAAAAAAATATCAAACATGATTTTTTTTAGCGTCAAACAAGTGACCATTCAGGGCATCTAAAGGCATGTATGTATCCTATTAGTATCTAACATGAACTTGACTGGATTTTAAAAGTATCCAAGCTTCGTACTCTTAGACACATCTGTTTTCAAAATTTTAATAGTTTTGTAATTAGTTTTATCTAAACAATAATGTGATAATTGGTGCTCTTTATTTAAATATCCTATCAAAATTTAGTTGATTTGATTTTTGTGCAATTTTTAAGTATAGATCTCCTTCATCAAGTTTTGCATGTCTAGTCGTAAAGATGTGTGGATCCTTTAGGTGATTGAGTTGACTATGTGGATTGTGCATAAGATGCAAGAATTAATTGGCATGAGATTGAATCAATAAAATGACCTAAGAGATTGTTTGAATTGGAGTACCTGGTTCCACACAACAAAAACTCGATCGATCGCTTGAGGACTTCCTCATAGTAATGAGATGGTTGGTTCATCGACATAGATACCTTATTACTCGGCTTAGTAGGAGCTCAGTATGACTTGAATGAAGATTGAGACCTAACATGTTGAGAAGCCGAACAAGAATGAGGTAGGAGGAAGCCACATGGAGGACTAAAAGGGCATATGTCCTACAGTCATAGGAGAATGTCATTCACAAAGTGCAAGAACGTCCCTAGCCATAAAGTATTTAAGTTCTTGAGATGGAATAAGAATTAAATTATGATTCTTTCAAAAATCCTAGATAAGATCTACTAGCTTTGATATTCTTAGTAAAGAGAGATGTAAAAATAAATATGACTAATGTTTCTGAGAATGTGAAGGGCATTAGCCTTTATAGAGTCTTTGAATTATTGTAAACTACAAAAGGGGAATTCTTTCTTTTATTATCTTGATTGATCTTTTTCTTCTTTTCCTATCTTAAGTTATTTTTGAGAAGTAGAACATATGACAAGAGAAGTAAACCACTTATTTTCTGGCTCTATTGTTTTATATTAGTTCAATCCTTTTTTCTTTATTTTATTTTTTTAATTCTCTACAACATATGTAGATGCTATCATTTTTCAAGTACCTATTTCACTACTATTTTTTTTAGCTTAATTTTACTAAGCCCAATCAATCTCATAAAGCATCAAATCATTCTGACAGCTCCAATTGAACTAAACAACACTACTTAATAGTTAAGGTTTTTTTATAGTCAGCATAACTTGAGAAGTTATGTAAATGGAGGACTAAAAGGCACATGTCCCACGTTCACCAGAGGATGCCATTGACAAAGTGTAAGAACAACACTAGCTATAAACTATGTGAGATTCTGAGATGGAATAAGAGATACAATTGAAGCAATGGTTCATTCAAAAATCCTATATAAGATTTACTAGCCTTGGATCTTCTTAGCGAAGGGAGATTTTTTTTTCTCACTAACACGTGTGAAATAGATATGGCTAGTTTTACTAAAAACTTCTCAGGAGAGAGTCCTTTTGCAAAGGGGATTTGCCTATGCAGAATCTTTGAATACTTATAAACTAAAATAGTTGCATTCTTTTTCCTTCTCTTGCTATCTCAAGTCCTTTTGGGAAGTATAACATAAAATATGAGAACTTTTCCTTTAGGGGAAGTTCTTCAAGGCAACTTTGTATGATACATTTATGGATTGGATTTCTTTCTCTCTCTCCCTCTCTTTCCCTCCTTATCAAATTTTGGCATCCTCTCTGCAAATTACTTGTCCTCCTAATCCTCTAGACATCCCAAATCTGATGGAAATATTTTTCTGTGCTATTATTATATATTATTTCAATCCTGTTTTCTTTATTTTTTTGTTTTCAAATTCTCTACAACATATATAGATACTATAGTATTATTGTCAAGTATCATATTTTACTACTATTTTTTCTTTTTTCTTTTTTTAACTTAATTTCACTAAGCCCAACCAATCTCATAAAGCATCAAACTGTCCAGACAATCCAACTGAACTAGCAAGAGTACATGTAGATAGGGTTTTCATGTCACATAGCTTGAGAAGTTATGTAAATGTGAATCTAATTTAATCTTAATCATACCTTTGAAGTTTCAATATCACTACTATTCAATAATTTTTTTTTCCTTCTGTTCCAACTGCATTAATCGCACCTTTTACCATGTTTGAAGTACTAGCGTTGTTGGAAATTCATTTTTATTATTTTTTGCTTCTTTGTAGGCCAGCATAATCAACAGTTATTGCCAATTGGTTGATCCTGAAGCAGTTCGTCATGAATTGGAACAGTTAAAAGGGCTGCATATTGATGGAGTTGTGGTTGATTGTTGGTGGGGAATTGTGGAAGGTTGGAGTCCACACAAGTATCAGTGGTCTGGCTATAGAGATCTGTTTAATATAATCCGTGAGTTTAAGCTGAAATTACAGGTAATTTTTCTTTTAGGTTTCAGCCACTGTTATATGTCTTCTTGCAAGTTACTCTTCTCGCACGAGCTTGTAGAGGTTCATTAATTCTCTTGCACTTCAAATCAGCAATTAGTTTTTACTTGCTTAGAAGAGTTATATATTTCAATCAGCTCAGGATCATTATTATATTAGAATTAATTGTGGAGTGATCTAAGAATTTTTAATTATTATAAGTTTACATCCATATTTGGTATTGAATTCATATCCTATTGTATTGCTTTTGAAAATTCTTAGACATGATATTCAAAATTTTGTGGCTTGATGTATATTTTTTTTTACAAATATAGTTCTAATTAGTAAGACATCTACTGAAATCAGTAAAAAATTAGAACAATAAAGGAAATATTTAATATATAGAGACCATGGAATTAGTAGTACAAAGAATTTTAAGAATCTTGGATGATAATATAATTTCCAGTGTTCTGGATGATGAAAATAGAGAAGTTCCTCGGGAGTTTTGTTACAAGAAGATATCATGAAGGCTTGCATTGTAAGTTTTATAAAATTGTAATTATGTTGGTGATATTGTATGGAGCTAATTGTTGGGCTATAGAAAAGTTAGTGATATCCATGTTGAGTGTGACCGAAATAAAAAAATTAAAATATAAGTATGGAAAAACAGGAATGATGAATTATGAAATAATTTTATTAGATGAAAGTCTGTAATAACATCTATTTAAGATAAAATACTAGAAATAGGCTCGGGTGATTTGGATATATGTAATAAAGGATAGCGAATATACCAATTAGATGAGTTGATAAAATTACTATAACAGGATTAGAAATTAAAAGAGGTAGACCTGTATTCATGTAGATAGAAATTGTTCAAAATAGTTTGTAAAGAATAAGTTTAACTTTTAAGATAACACTCAACAGGAAAAATAACAAATGATGATACACTACATTGATCTCAAATAATTGGGATAAGGGTAATGATGATGAAGAAGAAGAAGTAGGAACCATTATGCTCCAGAAATGGCTTTTTGCTTCACTGAAAGTAATAGTGGTTTCTAATGAATGCTATTTGAGAGGGTAAACAAATCATTTATGTCATATGTGATATGCTCTAGATCAACATTTTATGCGTTTAGTAATCATGATGCATTGTTTTGTATGTGAGTTTGATGTTCTCAATCTTAAAACACGTTACTCTTAAGTTGTATTGGTCTTAATGTTTAACCAAACGATAGGAAAATAAAAAGAAATTTGATCCTTTTTTTTTTGCTTATCTTTTGTTACTCTGTATTTAAAGATAACATGTTGATTTAAACCATTTAGGTTACATGCGCATTTATTTTTTCCCACGAATCATGCATAGAAGTGGCTTTATGGAAACCACTGACTAATTTTTTCCTTGTTCGTGGAATTACATTTTTTATGAGTTCTGTAACGTTTACTTTTACACTTCTAAGGTTGTATTGGCATTTCATGAGAATGGTGGAAAAGAATCGGGTGATATGGTTATCTCTCTTCCCAAATGGATCTTGGAGATTGGGCAAGATAATCAAGATATATTTTTCACAGACCATGAAGGAAGGAGAAACACCGAATGTCTTTCTTGGGGTATTGATAAAGAGCGTGTCCTAAAAGGGAGAACTGGCATTGAGGTACTAGTTTTTGCTTCTTCAGTAGCTCTTTTCTTTCAGTCCCTTTCTCACCGATGTGTTTCATATTTCGTTCTTCTTCCATTCAGCTTTCTCCATTTTGAAATTCCATATCGCTTTTGTGTATATTTTTGGCAAAATCTCGGTTCTATACAATGGATTTCTAAGTAAAGTTGTATGATTCTATTTTTTTCCCACTTGCTCAATATGTTCAGGTCTATTTTGACTTCATGAGAAGCTTCCGGATGGAATTTGATGACTTATTTGAAGAGGGTATGATTTCTGCTATTGAAATTGGACTTGGCGCTTCCGGTGAGCTGAAATATCCTTCCCATTCAGAAAAGATAGGGTGGAGGTACCCTGGTATTGGAGAGTTTCAGGTATTTCATTAAATTGTTGAGTCATTCTTGAATTACCTTCGGTTTCCATAACGTAGGTTTTGATGGTATTTCACCGGTCTTTTTGCAATTGGTCTCATTTGTTATTTGGTCTAGTTTTGAACTATGTAAAACATCATCTACTTTTCTTAGTTAATCTGCCAACTCTGCTTGGGCATTACCGTATCATCTCCGAGCCAATTGCCATTCTTGTTAGGAGAGTGGAATACGAGTCCAAGTTGATTCCATCATATTAATATTATGGTTACCCATCATCTCAAAAGCTTAGCTAACGAGGAAGTGCTGCTACTAATATATTAAGAATTAAAAAATCCAATTTTCACTTCACATTCAATGAGGGATTTGTTTTATTCTCTTGTAGATCTCAAATAATTTTCCCCTGTATGAAAGCCTTCGACAATGGCTATCACTTTCGTTCAAATTACAGCTTTCAACGCCTTCTAGTGTCAATACCAAGAGTTCACTCAAGCACATGGAAACTTTGCTGAAATCTTCTTTTGAATCTTGCTTGATAGAAAAACCTATCATGAATCATAAGAGCCACAAACTAGATTTCACACTTGATCCCAGTGGACCATTGACTATGATGCCACTTGTTAGAATAGCGGAATAGCAGCTCTCGAGTATACTCATTGGTGATGGGCACCCATCAACTTAGAAATTTAAGCTAATGGATAAAGCACACTGCTAGTATGTTAAGAATTTATGTCTTATTTCACATCCAGTGAAGATTATTTTCCACTCTTATGTACATCTCAACAATTTTGATCTTCTTTATATGATTCCCTTCTCATTTAATTGCATTTTTTACAGTGCTATGACAAGTATATGCAGCAGAATCTGCGAAGAGCTGCTAGGGTACGAGGGCACTCTTTTTGGGCCAGGGGCCCTAATAATGCTGGCCATTATAACTCCAGGCCTCATGAAACTGGGTTCTTCTGTGATCGGGGTGATTATGACAGCTACTATGGACGATTTTTCCTTCATTGGTATTCACAGGTCCTTATTAACCATGCTGATCAAGTATTATCCCTTGCAAGCCTTGCTTTTGAAGGAACGCAGTTAGCTGTAAAGGTATGATAAGTTGCTTTAACTCTCACTATCTGAACTATCATAAAGTTCAGTCTGGTTAAGGTCATTTTATGGCGGCATTATGAGTTAATAGCATATCCCTGAATGGACTAAACGGGCATTATAATTCTTTTTTTATTTGGTATCTGAACTATGATGTGGGGATTTCCTTTACTGAATTCTGTGCAGATTCCTGCAATCTATTGGTGGTATAGGACTTCAAGCCATGCTGCAGAACTAACAGCAGGATATTATAATCCTACCAATCAGGATGGCTATTCTCCAGTTTTTGACTTGCTTAAGAAGCATTTTGTGACAATAAAGTTTGTCTTGGTCAGTCAAACACCAGGTTCTTTGAATGAGACCGATGAAGCCTGGTCTGACCCAGAAGGTCAGAGTTGGCAGGTGAAGTTACTAGATTTTTTCTTAGCATTTTATATGATTAGACCATTCAAGTTATGAAATTTTTGTCCTTGCCTGATTTTCTCCATAATTTATGCCAAAATTTGTAGGTCCTCAATTCAGCCTGGGACCGCAGATTGATTGTTGCTGGTCAGGGTAATTTCCAATGTCATGATAGAGATGCCTGCATTAGGGTCCTTGAAACTGCAAAACCAAGAAATGATCCTGATCGGCATCATCTTTCATTTTTCACTTACCAGACTGTCTCACCTGTCTTCATGCAAGGCGATTTATTCTTGTCAGACCTGGACAGCTTCATCAAATCCATGCATGGTAAGTATTGCATCATCACTGAAATATCTATCAGTTAGGTGAACTCCAAAGTCTTATAACCATATCTATATTTTATTTTCAAAATTTTCAGGGGACATTTTGTCTGTTGATGATGCAGTTTGAACATTCAATTTGTTCATTTTTCATACAAATGAAAAATATGAGTAGAGAGCACTTGTCATTGATAGGAAGGAACTTGGACCTCTTGTTTTCTATCTTTATATTACTTAAACTTGCAGTTTAACAGCCTCCTTGTTTGTATTGATTACAAGGATGCCCATTCAAGTTTTTTTGGTCTGAGCTCTTTCTATTATACAAGTCTAACCTTTGCTTCTGTCCTAGTTTAAATTCTGTGAGTGAATTCAAAGTCATTTATGAGGACTGAGGCAGAATCACATTTTTTATGCTTGAAGTCTTCTACATTCTCAAGACGTACCTGATTATTGATTCTTTTTAGTGTTAATTACTTGTATAACTTGAAAACACGGTGGGAGGTCAACATCTGAAATTTATGCCATAGCTAAAGAAAATGAATTAGTCCAAAATTAGTTGGAATAAATTAATGTGGATTGATCGTTTTGATTTGTTTTTTCAATACAAAATGTAGTATGATTTGTCCGCGCAATGCATCTTATACTACTGTTAGTATTTGAACCTAAGATCTTCAAGATTATACTGATAACTGGTATATATATAGGGTTGACAGATTGATCTCAGTGGACATTCATATATGAAAAAAAACTATATTTTGTATGATCTGTACATTCCCCATAATATTGAGGTATAATCAGAGTTTTTTTGTGTGTGTGAATATGATACAGTTATATAGAAGTTGAACAGAAAAGTGGGACAATAATTGTCTAGTTATCAATGTTTCTAACTAAGGCTTAAGGCTTTGTTTGGAACAGTTCTAGTACAAAATTTTGTAAAATTCTCAGTAAAAAATGACGGATTAAATGACAAATGAAAGACGATTCACCACTTGATAATTTAATTCGTTGGAGAATGGATGCTAATCATGCCATGATGAGCTGAAAGCCTTATTTGTAAGACATACCTGATCAATCTGAAACGAAGAAATAAAAGATTTTTATTTAATTTAGGAAGTATGAATTATATGATGTTTAAATAGAAGTATAAAATTTTATTAGGGATTACTTTTTTATGAAAAAACCTAATTGTCATGTAGTTTATGCTAAATGTTTTTTTTTTTCATTTTGATATAAACATGTTTTTTCAATCTAGGGGAAGCTTTAGCATAGCTTCAGAAATGAAACCTCTCAGTAACACCCTAATCTGCTGAGTGTTTTTGTTTGATTTAGGCTTCGTCTGAGATGACTTTTTTACTGCTCTTAAAGTAATTTTGTAGTACAAAAATTTTAATTTTTTACTATAAAATTACTTTAAGAAGCAGCAAGAAATTTGTCCCAAATGAAACCTTGGGTTGCTATTGGAATGTAAATTTCTCAACATAGATAGAGCATTGTGGGAAATCAAATTAGATGTTTTACTTTTATTTTGTTAAATCAGACTATATTGTGCTAGTAGTTTGCTTATAACTTTAGTAGTATGGCTTTTTAAAAGGAAAAGTTTGGAGAAAAAGAAGATATTGTTCAATCTTCATTAAAGAAGAAAAAATAATAATTACAAAAGCCAAGGATCTCTGCCTCCTGTATGCCGATCAAACCACCAATTCAAAAAGAGCGGTTTTGGAGGGATTTTTTTATGAAATTTAGGAGGGAAATTGAATGTAGGGTTTGTTTAGAGATTTTCTTTTGAATTTTATGCATTAAATAATTTATTTTCCTAGGGTTGGGGCATCTTGAATTTGATTGAAATTTGAGATATCTTAGGTTTATATTTTTGGGCTCTAGTGGCGTCTAGAAATTTGGGAGAGATTGATCATCCTTTCGAATTAAGGATCAACTGTATATTGCTATTTTCCATTTCTATTTCATCAAATAATACAAATTATCTATTGTTTTCTTGGTTTTGTGTGGATTGTTGTTCATAATTTTCACTATTTTCCGAAGATTAATAGAAAATACTTGAAATTTACAAGTGTTTCCTATCAGCATACCATAGATTGCTAGACTTGTAAATAATAGAGTTAGATATGAATGATCTTTCATGCCAACATTGAGATTTTTGCAGCTCAAAATTGATTGAAAATACACCATCTTGTTACCCTTATCAGTATATAAAGGTGTAGGCAAACACACATATCATGTTATTCTTATAGACAATAATATGGCTCGGAAGATTTTAGGAATATTGATGATTTTGATCAAATTATTTGATGGAGTTGTGAGAGTTTTGGAAGATATCAGACATGCAAGTTTTAAAGAAGAATTTCATTCTCTGTGCTATTTGAACACAAAAGGGTGCAAATTCACTGTTTAAAGTGAATTTTTAATGTATTTAAGGGTCTCATAGTTTTTAAAATTTCATTCACAAAAGATTAAGGAAGTCTACAAAAGAAGTCTTTATATGGACTAAAGTAATTTCAAAGGGAATGGTATAAGAAGTATGGTAATTTCATGATTATTCAACGGTTAAGAGAAGATCACTTGATATTTATGTGTACAACAAGTATTTTACAAATGGATCTTATGTACATGTTCTTAAAATATCACAAATCTAGAAAATAAAAGCTGATTTGAGTAAAACATTTGATATGGAAGATCTTTGTGTTACACTGAAGATTTAGGAATGGAGATGGCCAAAAATAGAAAGTTGAACGTATTTATTTCTAATATAAGGCTTAGTTTGGGTTGGCTTTTATATTGCTTCTTAAAACAATTTTTTAGTACAAAATTTTTTAATTTTTATACTAAAAAGTTATTTTAAAAAGCAATAAAAAAGCCATCCCAAATGAGACGTCAGTATGTTGAGAATTTGTTAGCAATATTTAGCTTGCATATTGCAAAGCCCATCACTTCTCTACTTAGTTGATAATCATTTTTACTTTACAACATTTTATTCTCTTTTTTCTTCAAAACAGGAGAAGAGTACTTTATTTTAGTGCAATTAGAAGCAACATTTTAATAACAAGATTAGCATCTTTTTAGAGAAGAATTCTACTTCTCTCTGACCTTTTTTAATTCGATGAGATCTTTCATACTAATTAATTGCAAGGATAGGATCTTACCTACTACAAATTATTAACTTGCCTTACAATCTTGACCAACTCCCATTAATCATGATATTTTTATCTCTACATTTATTTTAATATTTTAAAATAAATTCTAGTGCGTGATACTAATTTTATTTCTCCATAATTAATTTTATTACTCATTCAAAAGGAGTATTTAGGAACTTCCTTTACAACATTAAATATCATAATTAAAACAAAGTATATCATTTAGATCTGCTAAAAACTTCTTAAAAAACATAATCAAACTTTTTTAAGGAAACTCTGTTAATTTTACACCTCAACGATGGAAATTATTGATTTTATTTGTGGCATGTTAGATTGTTCCAGAATCTTCTGGAAACCAGAAGAAGACAAAGATGTAAATTTCACCTTTCTAGATTGACACAGTAAATTAGCTGGATTGAAACATACAGCCATTATTAATGAATTGAAGAAGACAAAAGAGGGTTAGCTGGAGCCTAATAAGAGCAAGCAAGAAGTTTCTGGGTGTTAAATCAATCCTTCTCAACAACTATTTAAGATATCACAAAGAAGACTTGCTACTGATTTTCTAACACAAATATATTTAAATTTGCAAGGCTTTGTTTATTGCTTGAAATTTTAATTTATTTGCAATTTTTTTTTTTTACATAAACAGCTACAGCAACAGCAACAATGTTCTTACGATTCAATATTTTGCCGGCCAAATCTGTCAATTAGGCGTTGTAGAACTGAACGTGCCATTTGGTTTTGGACCTTTTGGTTGTTTGAAATTAGAAAATGTTTTAAAAATAATAATAAAATTTCTTTGGCTGATTATTAGGTTCAGTAAAATAATTGGAGTTTCGTTTGGAATAATTTTATTATTGCTTCTTAAAATAATTTTTTAGTATCAAAATTATAATTTTGTACTAACAAAAACTATTTGAAGAAACAGTAAGAAAACCATTCCAAACAAAGCCTAAATGAAATCAACTTTGTTTTTTGGGATAGTGATTTGCTTGACCAAATTGTTATCATCAAATCAGCAGAAAATTAAAGTTTCATTAGGGATAATTTTATATCACTATTTTTTTCTATTTTTAAGGAATTTTTTTATTAAAAAGCAATTTTATAAAGCAATAAAAAAATTATCTTGCCTAAATAATAGAACATAAATTTGATTTAAACATTAATAGATTGTGGAATTCTGACAAAACCTCTAAAATTTTATCAACTCTGCAATCCAAAATTTTGGAAAAAAAAAATCGAAATTCATAGCCCATTGGGATTCTTGTGAATGCTATGATTATGAATGACTGATTCATTCCTCCTAATGGTGAGAAATTCCTAATAAATTCTAGTGGACAAATTTAGAGTCTCCATTGTCAAATGAAAAGCTCCAACTCACAACCAGAAACAAATAACAAAGTAGAAAAGAAGAAAGGATGAGAACCTGACATCTGGTGGTCAAAAAGGGCAGGAAGAATGAACCAGTTTTGCAGTCACTTTACATGAAAATGACGAGGAGTTTATCAGAAACCAAATTCGTCAACAATCTCCAACTCTTCCGTTTACACTGAAGCTAGTTTGTTTTCCTGTGGTGGAAAGATACCTTCCATAAGGTTAAGATTTAGGCTTCGTTTGGGACGGCTATCTTCCTGCTTCTTAAAGCGGCTTTCTAGTACAAAAATTTTAAATTTTGTACTAAAAAGCTGTTTTAAGAAGTAAGAAGAAAGCCTTCCCAAATAAAGCCTTAGTTTCTTACTGCTTCTTAACGTAGTTTTTTAGTAAAAAAAAATTAAATTTTTTATTAGAAAGCTGCTTTAAAAAGCAAAAAAAAGTCTTTAAACCTAAAGATAAATAAAGAAGTGCTTTAGATTTCCCTCATACCAGTCAAATAATCAAAACCCATAGGAAAAATTTTGATTCAGAGCACTTCTAGCAAATTTTGATGAGAAGAGGCTTAACAAGCAAATTATTTTATTCTACTCCATTAATTACGAAGTGTGAATCAGTAAGAATCTAGCAATGAATGAACAGAAGTAGGGACTGTTTTATTAATCATGACTAAAATAATCACTAGCAATCCTAGTCAAAGAAATATGCGAAGAAAATATCCAAAATAGGTATTGTAAGGCATAATAAAATAAAACCAGTATGACCAGGAGGCCTCCCCAGACTAACAGCTGCTAATGGTTAGGCTACCGTTTACCTTCCTCTTTTGAGCAGTGAATTCTCTCCACTTGCCTCTTAAGCACTTAAACAAAATTGCTAGGATTAATAAAAGCAACTGC